AATGTAGAAATTATCAAACAATATCATTAATATCACACACAAATAAAATTTTGCTGAAGATCATTCAAAAGCGGATGCAGCAGTACATTCACGGGGAACTGCCAGAAATTCAAGCTGGATTCAGAAGATGATGTGGAACCAGGGATATCACTGCTGATGTCAGATGGATCTGGCTGAAAGTAGAGAATACCAGAAAGATGTTTACCTGTGTTTCATTGACTATGCAAAGGCATTCGACTGTGTGCATCATAGCAATTTATGGATAACTTTGAGAAGAATGGGAATTCCAGAACAATTAATTGTGCTCATGAGGACCCTGTACATAGACTAAGAGGTAGTTGTTCGAACAGAACAAGGGGATACTGCGTGGTTTAAAATGGGGAAAAGTATGTGTCTGGGTTGTATCCTTTCACCATGCTTATTCAATCTGTATGCTGAGCAAATATCCAAGAAAATGGACTATATGAAAAACTAGGCATCAGGATTGGAGAAAGACTCATTAACAACCTGAGATATGCAGATGACACAACCTTGCTTGCTGAAAGTGAAGAGGACTTTGAGCACTTACTGATGAAGATCAAGACTACAGCTTTCAGTATGGATTACACCTCAACATAAAACAAACAAACAAACCGTTACCATCGAGTCAATTCAGAGTCATAGCATCGGTATAGGACAGAGTAGAACTGCCCCCATAGGGTTTCCTATGACTGGCTGGAGGATTTGAATTGCCAACCTTTTGGTTAGGAGCCAAGGTCTTAATCACTGCACCACCAGGGCTCCACACCTCAACATAAAGAAAACAAAAATCCTCACAACTGGACCAATAAGCAACATCATGATAAATGAATAAAATATTGAAGTTGCCAAGGATTTCATTTACTTGGGTCCACAATCAATGTCCATGGAAGCCGCAGTCAAGAAATCAAACGACGCATTCCATTGGGCATATCTGCGGCAAAAGACCTCTTTAAAGTGTTAAAAAGCAAAGATGTCACTTTAAGGACTAAGGTGTGCCTAACCCAAGCCATAGTGTTTTCAATCACCTCATATGCATGGGAAAGCTGGACAATGAATAAGGAAGGCCAAAAAAAATTGACGGCTTTGAATTATAGTGTTGGCAAAGAATAACTGAATATACCATGGACTGCCAAAAGAAAGAAAAAGAATCTGTCTTGGAAGAAGTACAGCCAGAATACTCCTTAGAAGTCAGGATGGTGAGACTTTGTCTCACGTAGTTTGGACATGTTATCAGGAGGGACCAGTCCCTGGAGAAGGACATCATGCTTGGTAAAGCAGAAAGTCAGCGAAAAAGAGGAAGACCCTCGACAAGATGGACTGACACACTGGCTGCAACAATGGGCTCTAGCGTAATAATGATTGTGAGGATGGCGCAGGGCCGGGCAGCGTTTTGTTGAACATGGGGTCGCTATGAATCAGAACCGACTTGATGGCACCTAACAACAACACTGTAAATTTGAACACTGGCTGAATATTTAATAATATTAATCAATTATTGCTATTTTTAGGAATAATAATAATATTGTTGCTAAGTGTTTTTTTTTTAATCTCTGAACTATTATGGATTAAATGATGTCAGAGATTTGCTTCAGTGTAATACAGGAGAAGTGAATATGTGTGTGTGGGGGTATATGTGAAACAAGATTTGTCATGAGTCAACAGCTAGATTACATGTACACAGGGTTCATTATACTATTTTGAATACTTTGGTATATGTTTGAACTTTTCCATAAGAATAATTTTTTTTGAAAAAGAGAGATTACTGAGCCCCCAGGAGGGTCTGGTTCAGTAGGTCTAGAGCCTGTGAATCTGTGTATTTGCATCACCACCACCAGACAATTCACCAACAGTACTCCAACCCAACTATCTACTCTATTGTTATTGTTAGGTAGGGGTGGTAATGGAGGTACCCTTAAAGCTCCCATACACTAAATATCATCCTTAGGAAGAATGTATTTGATTAGAGTAAGTCACACAAGTGTTCATTTAACAGTGAATCCAAAGGAGGGATGTCTGCAGTTTTAAGGAAAATCTAGTAAATCTTCAAGAGCAAAATTTCTTTCAGGAAGGAACTCCAGCTACCAAATTAAAAGAAATAATATTTAAAAGCTCATTGTTCCAACTCTATCTAGCATCTCTCTTTCCCTAGATCAATACAATCCAGCCACATTGACACCTTGCTTCTTCAGACACATGGAACTCATTTTTACCTAAGGACCAGAGTTTCAGCCTTATGTTCTATTAAAAAAAAATGCTCTTCCCCCAGATTCTCTCATGGCTGGGTCCTACACTTCATTCATATCTCAACCCCAAAGTTGCCTCTTCAAGAAGGCCTTCCCTGATGCTCCCTCTTCAGCACCGCACCTCTTCCAGTACCTCCCCAGAACCTTAAGCTGTTATTTCAGGGTATTTAACATTAGATGAAATTGTCTTATTAGTTTACTAATTTATCGTGTTTCTTTTATCAAAAATATAAGATCTTTGACTGTAGGGCTCTTGTCCATGTTGTTTATGGATGCATGTTGACCTCCTATGATACACTGTCTGGCCAAAATAAGAACTCAATAAATAACGTTGAGTACCTGGAATATGTACAATTGGAAGGGTACCTTCCTGTGCCCCCACATTATATCACGTGTTACAAACTCAAATGCCACAGAGATTAGACAGGTACTAAAGGCAGAGGGCTGTAGTTAGAGAAACCTAGAGAAAAAACTCAAGATCACTTGCACTGGTCTGAAGGAGGCAGCTGCTTTTCAGTTTGAACATTATTGCCATGCTACAAGGCAGATCTAGCATGGCAATATCTTCTCATTTTTTCATGGGATGCCAAAAATCTATGTTTTTAAAAATTATTTTAATTTTTTTTATTGTGCTTGAAGTGGAAGTTTACAGAGCAAATTAGTTTCTCATTAAACAATTAATACACTATTTGCTTTGTGACATTGGTTGCCAACCCTGCGATGTGTCAACACTCTCCCCTTCTCAACCTTGGGTTCTCCATTTCCATTTGTCCAGTTTTCCTGTCCCTTCCTGTCCTCTCGTCTTTTGCTTTTGGGCTGGTGTGCCCATTCAGTCTCGTACACAGTTGAACTACATGTGTTACTGTTTGTTCTATAGGCCTGTCTAATCTTTGGCTGAAGGTTGAATTTCAAAAGTGACTTCAGTATAGAGTTAAAAGGGTTAGTTAAGAGGAAACACTGAGAAAAGATACTGTGAAGATTGTACCCTACAGCATTGTTTGCAATGGTGAAAAACAGGAAACAACTTAAATATCCATCACTATGGAATTCCCAAATAATCTGTGGCAAACTTATTTGACAGGATATTATATATGATTATATGATTAAAGCAAATAAATTGTAGCCATATGTATCAATGCAGACAGATCTCAAAAACATAGAACTGGGTGAAAAAATCAAGTTGCAGTTGAATAAACAAAACAGAATAGCATTCACGTAAAACTTTAAAAGCCCAAAGCCATATATATATTGTTTAGGAATACACAGGAATGGTGAAAGTATAAAAACCTAGATTAGCAGGATATATATCAAATTTATGATCTTAGTTGCCTCTCAAAACGGCGGTAGGAGAGTGGGACTTGGAAGAGGGGGCACCCACCTTTATCTGTTATGTTCTATTTCTTTCATTAAAAAATATGAAGTGACAAAATGCAACATGTGTTCATTCTGGATAGTGGGTACATGAATGTTTGCTCTGTGCTTTTCTTTTTAAAACATTTCAAAATTAAAAAAAAAAAAGGAGAGGGGGTGGTGGAGAAGAAAGATCATGTACTAGAAGCCAGGAGACTTGGATTCCAGTCTCTGCTCTGCCATTCTGGCATTGATATAATTTCTAGATAAAGTTTCCACATTAGCAAATGTGGAAGAAGTATGTAGTGATCTCCAAAGTTCAATTCAACAGCCTATGAATCTAAAACCTACACACTCCCACACTTTTGTTGCACTCTCCAAAATCCCTTCGGTCCAGGAATCAAAGCCCTCCCACCTCCCACCCTCCACACACGGGAATATTACCCAGACTAGGGACTGAAACGTGTATTTCTTCCCTCATATAGGATGATCCATCCTTCTCAACCTGCACATCCTTTTCCAGAGGCAGCATGTACAGTAGAAGAATAGTCTTTGGCGACAGAAAGACCTGGATCTATCACTTCTGAGTCTCAGATTACTCATTTCTAAAAAGAGGGTTATAACACCTACCTCACAGGATTGTAGTGATATTTAAAAATAACGTATGTCTAGTGCCTGAACAGAGTAGCAATTAATAGTGGTAGTATTAGAATCTCATTAAAAACAATTTAGGTGCCCAGCATCAGGGTCGCTGAACAGAGTCACACTTTTCAAGCTGCCTTCAGAGCCAACGCCAGTTTTTTTAAGTCCCAACAGCGTATCGGAAACAATCAAGAAACAGTTTCCATGGCGACATTCTAGTTCCGCCTCTTGGCTTACTCGAATAGCATGCTGGGAATTGTAGTGCGTGGGCGCTGCCACTCACAAGGGGGCGGTGCAGTTTCCGGAAAGTGTACTACATTTCCCGTTCCTACCTCCACCGCCACCCCATATCCCCGCCCTGCTTCTGGGTTATAAATCCAAAATGAAATGCCCAGTCACGGGTCTTCCTTTCCACGCCCGGCGCAGTTATAGCTGAAAGCAGAGAGCGAAAGAGATGCGATGCCGATGGCAGGGGCGGAAACGAAGCTTACGGAGCAGGAAAAGGTGGAGCTCCGTCCTAGAGCACGGAGGCTCCGCCTTGTTACGTTATTTCCGTAAACAAAGGGGGTTGCGGAGGCGCTGGGGCCGGGATGTGACCCGGGCTCAAGCTGCCCCTGTAGCGGCGCGGGCTGCGGCTGCAGCTGCTGCTGTGACTTCGGAGCCTCCGGAGTCTTTACAGATAGGGGACTCCGATCCCTTTCTTCCTGAGGTATGAAGTGGAACCAAGACACCCCGCCACCTTCCCCTTTAGGCCCGTCCCAGTCACTGCCGGGCTCTGGGCGGCGAAGGGTCATCTTGTCGGCTGGTTACGGAATGGGAGTTAGTGAAGTCAAGAGGGACCCCCAGTGGTTCAGCTTGGAGGCTGCGGGTTCGTGGTTCTCAAAAACAGTGTGTAAGTAACTATGAACAATTTACTTACGCCTTCTCTGAAAGATTCCGTGCTGCTTGATATACAAAAAGAATTTAGTACTCTTGTAACGGAGATGTTACCTTCCAAAAACGGATGACTTTCGATCCCTGTCCTCTTAAAAGATATTAGTTTAGACCACTAATGGTTTATTTGCATTCCTTTACTTCCCAGCTGTTCTTGCTTTTCTTCTTGTATTTCCAAACGCGTGTTTGGCTTGTAGTCCAGGTGTTTGTGTATGTTATAAATCTATACAGATTCTTGCCTCTGGAGAACTGATATCCCATCTTCTCTATTAACTCGTCTTTCAGAGTTCCATTTTAATTTGTGTTACAGGCTGAACCAAAACCACAGTGACTGTTTTGTAACTAAAAATGTTTTTTAAAATCTTGAGCCAAGGTTTTAAGCAGATTTACAGTTGGTATCTGGTATTAGGGACTGGCCATTAGAGTCTTCTCTGTAAAATCTTTTTTTCTTTGGAGATATAGCTTCAGTTATGATAGTGTGTAGAATCAGCCTGAGCTAAATCTGCACTGAATGATTCAAACTCCATTGCTAGTGATGCCAAATCAAGACAATAGCAAAAACATCTGTTTTCATTAAAATTCTCAAGCAATTATTTTAGGAGTGACATGAATTTCTTTGAATATTTCTGAATGATGGTAGCATGATCAAACTCAACACAACATGCAAAAAGGCCTAATGTTTCCAAGGCAGTTTACAATCTGATGAGTTAAATAGCCAAATACATTTCTCATGAGACGTGAAACAATATAATTAAGAAAAATCTGACACAATGCCCGAAGTAAAGAAACGTAGATGGATATTTTTAGATGGATGGGTGTTAGGAAAATAAACAAGCTGGTTAGTGTATAAAGTAAGAGGAAATTATTGGATAGATAGGAGGCTTTACACATATTCTCCATGGAAGTGCCATCAGCAGCTTCATAGTAAAACTTGTTTGGATATGGGCAAAACCAAGCATATATAACAAACTTTCATGTTTCCTTGGACATAAGTAGAGAAAATATTTCAAAATAGACACAAAACATGTTTAATTGTGCAAAGCTTCACTTAATCACAAAGAACTAAATAGGGAAACCCCAAGTTTCTGTTTGGTAGTTGAATTAAGACTTCTAGTCGCTATTTTAAAATGCAGATACTCCATCAGTTATACGTCTGTTTGAATCTAGTCAGTTATTCCTAAGTATGCATTTTAGAAGGTAGACCTAAAAGCTACCTAAAGCTTCAGTTAGGTTCGGAATAACACATGGATGATTTGTTTTTTGTTTATGTTTATTCTCCTTCCATAATACAGGCTCCTTGAGAACAGGGAATTTATCTTTTTCACAGTTGTCTCCCCAGTGCCTAGAATAGTGCCTGGCGTGTGAAAGAGAGTCTGTAAATATATGTAGAATGAGTGACTAAAAAAAATTTGTCTACCGTACAATTTTGCTAAGGGCTTCTATGTGTATAGTAAAGTAGATGAAACTTAAAGGATCCCTATCCTAACTCTCTTTAATGACTTCTGGAGTTCTTGATTCTCTTTCAGCTTATGACATAGACCTTTGAACTTCTTTCATTTTTGCATATTGTAGCATGCATGGATAATTGCTGTATTTCCTTATTTAGGTGTTAAGAAGCTCGTCTTGGTGCAATAAGGAACTTAAAACAATGGAAGAGAGGAAAGTGAAGAGGAGGAGCCCTAAGTCTTTTAGTGCCCACTCTACTCAGGTTGTTAATACCAAAAAAAGTGCCATTCCAGTTAGCAAAAGCACAGGGTTTTCAAATCCTGCAACACAGTCAACTTCACAGCGACCAAAGTTAAAAAGGTGAATTCTGTTATTTCATATTATCATAGCAAAGTGCATGAAAGTAAATGCTAAATCCACTTCTTTGTATAACATTTTCTCTCTTGGCCTGACTTTTAAAACATTTGAGGCACACATTATATGTGATTCAGGAAAAAAAAGACTTATGAAGGCTACAGTGTAAAGAGTTTAGAAAATGCAAAATGAATCATTGGTTTGAAGGCACTTGCTTTGTCTCATAAAATACACAGAGTAAGAAAATTTGTAGCAAAGTTGATGATCTAGCCAAAATGGGAAAAAATATAAGGTCAGAGGCGTTTCTTTTTTACTAAGCTGTGTGATTCTGCCTTGGTAGTCTTTATTTAAAAAAAAAAAAAAGACCGATTTCATCGTTTCGATAAATGGTTTGTTTTTATTGTACGAATTCAGACACAGGAAAAGTTCAAAGAAGAAATTAAAAATACTAAAATGCCACAACTCAGAAATAATCATCATTATTTAGTGAACATTATTTGTTTTGAGGATGCTTAAAGGAAACAGGAACAAAAATGTAAATGTGTTATGTATTGCTGTTGCATATACATGAGTATTTTGTAATACTTTGAAAGCAAGACATCTTTAGAGAAAAAAGAACTTCATTATCTCAGCCCTCTTTCTAATTATGATTAAATAAATTTACTCTCAAATGCAAAGTCATCATGGAGACTCATTTGAGGAAATAATGCATGTAGTACTCTGTAACCACTGGAATTACACAGAAGACATGATTGCTCCGTTGATGATAGTCTCACACTGTTTTTGAGGAAACAAAAGGGACAGCCAAAGACACGAGAGAGTACTTGGAAAATAATATTCAAGTGAGTTGTAAATTATAAAGAACAGTTATATGAGGGTTTTCTTTGAATAAATTATCAGATTGAAAAGAGCTTGCCTCCTGAGGGAGTTTAATTTAAAGTCAGATTTTGAATATGGTTATGAATACACCTTAGTGAAAAGAAGGGTAAGAGATTTTAAAGGCAGTCACTTCTTTCTCTACATTCTTAAAGCAGCATATTTGTATCATTATCATTTTCTGCCTGGTAATTTTATGTGTATACAATCATCTAGAATGTAGACTTCCTGAGGGCTGGGGCTATTTGATCATCATTGTAGTTACAGTGGGGCTTTGCACATAGTACCATTTTAAATGAATGCTTTTTTATTGTCAAGTTATTTTTGAGTTAAAATGAGACAATGTGACATGATCAAAAACACTGAAATAGAATTAAACAGGCTTTTTCGTTTTATCTTTTGTTTCTGTTTTCTTTTTTGAGGAGGTTGTAAAATGATGGATTGATGCCAAACCCTTATTTGGATTAAAAAAACCAAACCCATTGCCATCCAGTCGATTCTGACTCATAGCAACCCTTTAGGATAAAGTGGAACTGCCCCATGGGGTTTCCAGGGAGAGACTGGTGGATTTGAACTGCTAGACTTTTGGGTAGCAGCTGAATGCTTTTTGCTGCAAAAGACGTCTTTAAAGTTTTAAAAAGCAAAGATGTCATTTTGATGACTAAGATCGAGTCTGACCAAAGCCATGGTATTTTCAGTCACCTGATATGCATTTAAAAAGTTGGGCAGTGAATAAGGAAGACCAAAGAAAAATTAATGAGTTCGAAGTGTGGTGTTGGTTTGGTGGACTTTTGGATTAGCAGCCAAGCTCTTAACCACTCTGCCACCAGGGCTCCCTTATTTGGATAAAACCTCCAAATATGAAAGAAAAATACATGTTTGCTATACTGAAACCTTGCATTTTATAGTAGTTTTTTTCAGGTTTTATTGTGCATATGAATCTCTTGGGGATCTTGTGAAAGTGCAGATTCAGTTAGTCTTGGATGGGGTTTAAGATAACCGTTTCTAATAAGCTCATAGGTGTTGCTGATGCTAGGGTTCATGGACAGCACTTTGAGTAGCAAGGTAGTACATAATGTGATTTAATACTGCATATATAAAACACCAAGGAGCTCTGGTGGCACAGTGGTTAAAGTGCTCGGCTGCTAACCAAGAGGGAGAATGATGCAGTGGTCTGCTTCCATAAAGATTGTTGTTGTTAGGTGCCGTCGAGTCCGTTCCGACTCATAGTGACTCTATGAACAACAGAACGAAACTCTGCCGGGTCCTGCGCCATCCTCACAATTGTTGTTACACTTGATCCCATTGTTGCAGCCACTGGGTCAGTCTGTCTCGTTGAGGGTCTTCCTCTTTTTTGCTGACCTTGTACTTTACCAACCATAATGTCCTTCTCCGGGGACTGATCTCTCCTGACAATATGTCCAAAGTATGTAAGACATAGTCTTGCCATCCTTGCTTCTAAGGAGCATTCTGGTTGTACTTCTTCCAAGACAGACCTGTTCATTCTTTTGGCAGTCCATGGTATATTCAATATTCTTCACCAACACCACCATTCAAAGGCATCAATTCTTTTGTCTTCCTTATTCATTGTGCAGCTTCCGCATGCGTATGAGGCGATTGAAAATACCATCGCTT